GATAAATGGAGGCAGAAGATTTCTTTTAGTCATCAATGTAAACATTGATTGAAAGCGACACACAGGAGCTCTTTCAAGCTGGGCACCGTTTCATTCACAACACCTGTCCCATCAACCAGGAATCAGAATCAGAAATACTTTAATAATCCCAGGGAGGAATTACTTTTGTTACATTACTCCATCTGTAATAGAGTGACTATAGAACCAGTTTGATATAACACAATTTCATGCAATATATATAATTAGGGGGTCCCCGCTCCATCTCGCAATCAGTTTGGGGGTCCTTGGCTTTGAAAACGTTGAAGACCCCTGATTTAAGGAAAGTCTAGATTAAAAAAAAGAATAATGGACAGTTGAAAACACCTTGTTTTGAAAGTATTTATTTCACATACTGTATGTATGATCATACTGTCTGTGGAAATTGATAAAGCTCTATACAGCTCTATAGCGACTATTAGACTGCAATTGTAGCTCTTGTGTTAACCTTATTTAGTCAAGTAAGAGTTGTATTTGGGTTCTTTGAAAGGTTCATGAATGATTTTTTATTTTTTGATTAATGACTAAGGATAAATTTAAAAAAAAACTATTTGTCAGTTAAATCTTAACCAGCGCATAAAAAAAACTATGACCTGGAGATTAACATGCTTTAACATCACAGTTCCCATCCCAGCATGACCACCTTTTAAAAACTTCAAAAATGGAAACAAATGCAACCGGTTAAGTAGCGCCTCGAGCTCTTTCAACAAGTTGCTCTCGGTGGACGCTGGGATGATGATGTGACTTTTAACTCAGCGATACACAGCATGATGGGATCTTCAGCTCAAGCAGATGAAGGCCCGTGTGGGTTGAATGAATAGAGGGAATGTGCTTTGGTCAGCTTTGATTTATCTGCCCACTGAAGAGCAACAGAGCTCAACACTTCATGCTTCCTTTCACAAAGAAAACCAACCCAATACTTGAAAAATGTTTAAACTAATTTGCATTTATATTATAAGTATCTTTTATGTATAAAAACTTTGGTTCAGGGTGAAGATGATGACTGCAAAAATTGACAAGAGGAAAAGAAAAAATTCTTACGAAGGCTGACGTATATCACAGTTAATTAGCCAATTGAGTTTCGGTTTGGATAGCCAGTGAAAGCTAAGCAGCTGTTTATACCTGAGTTTATCTATGATGGGAAACAGACGCGCTATACTAACAGACACTAACAGGGCCACAATGCTGAGCTGTGCTGATAGAAAGCTAATGCTTCCAGCACAATACTTATTACACAAGACAGTAGACAATGAAGGTTTGACAGACTGTGTGAAATATGTGCTTGTGGATTTAAATGTGTCCTGCTGCCATTTGATAAGCAGCCAAACAGCGAACCCTGGCCAATAAATTAAACAAGTACACTAGAGCATTTGACATAGTAACTGCAGAACACACATACATTTTATACATTCGTATAATTACAGTGAGTGTATGAGTCATGATCACATTATAGGCCTTCCAACACACACAAACACAGCAGTATGAGACATCCAGCAAGATCACTTGTTTCAATTACACTACATTACATTGCAAAAATCTATTTTCTACATCAGTAACTCCTTTTTTTTAGCAACTTGGTTGTTTGAAATGTTTCATGTTGTATGGCAGGGTTTGGAAATGCAAAATCGATGATTTAAAAAGCAAAGATCCAGTATCCATTCCTTACGATGAATAGCTATGCTTATTTTCTTGATCTTCATTCTTCTCAGCTATTTAATGCAACTAACAAAAAGAACTCTTGTGTAATTATATTATATGAAGCTAATACGATTTTGAGATACATTAAGCTGACACAGTAACTGTATCCATCCAAGACAAAAAGACACCACAAAATATGTCATGTAAGCAGTGATGCTTTGACAGGACGACCCAGCCAAGAGCAGGTCTCAGTATAGGGATTGGCTGTCAGGGGCCTCTGAGGCTCGGGTTACAGACAGAAAGAGACTGATGCTGTTACTGGAGCCACGATGGTCCCAAACAAAAGCTTAAAGCTTGTCCTGTACCAACTCCCAGGGTAGGGGAGGGCTGTCAACAAAGACATACAATTAGTACAGTGTTTATATATTAGAGGGTACTCAGATACACTGTATGTATAATATGGTTCTCCTCTTCAACAAAGGTGACTCAGAGTTAAACAACTAGACTTATTTACATGCCGATCTTTTTACTTTAGAAAATATACATACGCAATTACCTAATAAATGTGATTTCCATATGCAAAAATATAATAATTCATCCTTTTCTGTTTTGTGGATGAAGGTCATATATCCTGCTTTAGCATCTCGAAGTCAACCATAGGCATATATATGATTGTATATTGTCTTTGGCACTATGGAGTATTTATTTGTTATGAAATTAGTTGTTCTCTAACAACTTAAAAGAAAAAAACTTGAATTTGATTAAACTAACGTAGACATAATTAAAACAGATAATTATCTAAGTATAGATGTTTTTAATTTCCCATTAATAAGTGTTGTGCCATAAAACCATGATAATGCTCATTGGAATGAGGA